CTAGTGGGAGAAAGCTGGTAGGCCTTCATATGAAAGAATGGGTCTGTGTGGTCAGTGTGCACAGTCTAAAAAAAATCCTGCAGCACAGTGCATAATGAGAAAAAAAAAACTTTGACCATTTTTTTTTAATAAATCAGCGACTTTGCAGTGTATTTTCGTATGGTATTTATTGTTGTATTCTAGTTTTCTTGGTCTCATTTTATAGAATGGAAGACATATCACAGAAATTGAGATGATTTTGACTGGTTTTACAATGAAAGGTGCCTTGAAATTGAGCTCAAAGTAGCAGAAATGTTCGATTTTTACCAAACTTCAAAAGTAAACAAATCGTGCCAAGCGTGCAATACACGTCAACTGATGAGTCTAATATTCTTTCACAAGTGCATCAATAATATTTATACCATTTTTTACACTAATGCAGTAGTCTGCATAACAGTAAATCTTATATTTTTTGTGAAAATAAAAATTCAAAGTGGAAAGCAAAAGAATATAAGAGGGCCTTGAGACGTGACTAATGACTAGAGGAAATGTCATTTTAGTGCTAGGAATGTCTTTCTTGTTTATTCTGGACCCTATTCGGAAATTGGCATCTTTTGAAATTTGTGTGAAATTGGCAAAATTGCTAAATTCTGACCACTGTACTGGATAGTTGAATTTCATAAATGGGTGGTTTCTTGCACCCATTCGATAGAAAAAATGGAGTTCTAGCGAAATATTCATGTTTTTTGTCGACTAGTACAGTGAAATTGGCCGAAAATGGGGCTCAAAGTGGGCAAAATCGCCGATGTGTAAACATCGCCGAGACCGCTAACTTTGCGAGAGCATAATTCCATAAGTTTTCTATCAAATTTCAAACTTTTGGTGTCTTTATGATCGGGCAGAGATTCTCTATCTTTTCATAAGAGAAAATAATTTTTTTTTTTTTTAAATTTGGCCGACCCTGAGAACGAGTTTCGGAGAGGGCCTGTCGACCCTCAAAGGGTTAAGAAAAAGAAAGAGAAGATGTAAACTAGAAAGGAAAAGATGCTCCCTATACAGACAAAGGTGAAGAATCACAGCTGCTGAGAGGGGCCAATATATCTGAAATACAAAGGGAGGCACTGGTCAGTGAATTAGCAAATATCAAACTTAAGCTGAAGGAATCTTACAGGAGACAAGAATCTCAGAAAGAACTAAAAGCCATAAAGGAAATTGAAAACAACCAAAATACAGCCTCTCCTCACTTAGCGGCGGAGTTCTGCTCCTAAGACCACGTCGGAAAACAAATTTATCGCTAAGTGAGGAGCATACTATAATGGTAGTGCATTTGTGGCGACTATCTTTGATATTGTTTTAATGTCACCTTTGCACCATTTATAACATTTCTGGTATATTTTTAAAGTGTTTATACAGTAGTGTACTGTATATTGAAATAAACAAAATAGAGGCAATCGGCTCTAATATACATTATTTAGGCATGCATTCTGGTCAGAAAGTCCGTCATAAGTCCGAGGCGTCGGTAAACGAGTACATCGCCAAGTGAGGAGAGGCTGTACTTCTCTTATGCCAAACCTGAGGGAAAAACAACATCCAGTATTGGGCCCCTGCTTAGGCAAGATTGGACATACACAGATGACAGCAAAGAAATGAGCGAGATACTTAAGTCCCAATTTGACTCAGTGGTCATCAAGCCATTACCCAGACTAAGGGTCGACAGTCTAAATTAATTCTTTATGAACGAGACCCAAGATCTGGTCATTTCAAAAATTTATGATATTATCCTAACACCACAAGACTTTGAAAAGGCTATAAATGACATGCCCATGCACTCTGCTCCAGGCCCAGTCTCATGGAACTCCATGTTCATCAAGAACTGCAAGAAGCCCCTGTCACGTGCCTTCAGCATTCTATGGAGAGGGAGCATGGAAATAGGGGTCATCCCACACTCACTAAAAGCAACAGACATAGCCCCACTTTACAAAGGTGGCAATACAACAATTGCAAAGAACTACAGACTGATAGCACTGACATCCCATATCATAAAAATCTTTGAAAGGGTTCTAAGAAGCAAGATCGCCTACCACCTAGATGCTCATCAATTACACAACCCAGGGCAGCATGGGTTTAAAGCAGGTTGCTCCTGCCTGTACCAGCTACTGGACCACTATGACAAGGTCCTGGATGCTACAGAGGATAAACAAAATGCAGATGTAGTATACAGTGGACCCTCGCCTAACGAACGCATTGCATAACATTAAATCCGCCTAGCGATACATTTAACGCAAAAATTTTGCCTCGGCTAGCGCTAAAAAACTCGCCCAACGTGATTCGTTCCGTTCGAGACGCGTCCACGTGTGGCCTGAGCGCGCCTCACTTGTCCCGTGGGTGCCAGTGTTTACAAACCAGCCACCGTGGTTGCATCCAAACATACAATCGGAACATTTCATATTATCACAGCATTTTTAGTGATTGCACCTGCAAAATAAGTTACCATGGGCCCCAAGAAAGCTTTTAGTGCCAACCCTGTGATAAAAAGGGTGAGAATTAGTATGGAAATTAAGAAAGATTTTGAAGGGTTTGGGGCTAACCCTGAGATGCCTATGCCAGTTGTGGAATCCACTGTGCCTACTTCAAAGATTAAGGAAATGTGCGCAGAGTGGGTTGAACTGCAAACCTTTATGGATGAAAATCACCCTAACCCAGCTATTGCAAGCCGTGCTGGTGACTATTACAATGACAATGTTATGGCCCATTTTAGACAAATCTTAAAGGAATGGGAGGTACAGAGCTCTATGGACAGATATATTGTGTGACAGAGGTCCAGTGACTCTCAAGCTGGTCCTAGTGGCATTAAAAGAAGGGAAGTAACCCCGGAAAAGGACTTGACACCTCAAGTCCTAATGGAAGGGGATTCCCCTTCTAAACATTAACACCATCCATACTCTCCCCTCCTCCCATCCCATCAATCATCACCATATCTTCAATAAAGGTAAGTGTCATGTAATTGCACATGTCTTCTTCAGTTTGTGTGTATTAAAATTAATATTTCATGTGGTAAATTTTTTTTTTTTTTCATACTTTGGGGTGTCAGGAACGGATTAATTTGATTTCCATTATTTCTTATGGGGAAAATTAATTCAGCTAACGATAATTTCGCCTAACGTTGAGCTCTCAGGAATGGATTAATGTCATTAGGCGAGGGTCCACTGTACACAGACTTTGCAAAAGCCTTTGACAAGTGTAATCATGGTGTAATAGCGCACAAAATGCACGATAAGGAATAACAAGAAAAGTTGGTAGATGGATCTATAACTTCTTAACAAACAGAACACAAAGAGTAATAGTACACAGAGTAAAGTCTGAGGCAGCTACAGTGGAAAGCTCTGTTCCACAAGGCACAGTACTCTCTCCCATCCTATTCCTCATCCTCATATCTGACAGAGAGAGAGATGTAAGCCATAGCTCCGTGTCTTCCTTTGCGGATGACACCCAAATTGCCATGACAGTGTCCTCCATCAAAGACACCGCAAGACTCCAAGGGGACACAACCAAATCTTCAAATGGATACACTCAAAACAATATGAAGTTCAATGAAGAGAAATTTCAACCACTCAGATATGGAAAACTTGAGGAAAATAAAAATTTATAGAATATATAGAAAACTTAAGGAAATTAAAACTGCCTCAGGGTATACAACAAATTCTAACCATACAATAGAACAAAAAACTAATGTGAAGGACCTGGGAGTGATGATGTCAAAGGATCTCACTTTCAAAGACAACAACAATGTATCTACCACATCTGCTAGAAAAATGGTAGGATGGATAATGAGAACCTTCAAAATTGGGGACACCAAGCCCATGATGGTTCTCTTCAAATTGCTTGTTCTCTCTAGGCTGGGATACTGCTGTACACTACCTTCCCCTTTCAAGGTAGGCAAAATTGCTGACCTGGAGAGTGTACAAATAACTTTCATGGCACTCATAAGTAAAATACGGCACCTAAATTACTGGGAACAGTTGAAGTTCCTTGATCTGTATTCCCTGGAATGCAGGTGAGAGAAATACAAGATAATATACACTTGGAAATTCCTAGAAGGATTAGTTCCAAACTTGCACACAAAAATCACTCTCTGTGAAAGCAAAAAACTCAGCAGGAGATGCAACATTTCCCCAATGAAAAGCAGGGGTGTCATGAGTACACTGAGAGACAACACAATAAGTGTCAAGGGCCCAACACTGTTCAACTGCCTCGCAGCATACATAAGGGGATTACCAATAGATCCCTGGCTTTCTTCAAGAAGGCACTGGACAGGCACCTAAAGTCAGTACCTGACCAACCGGGCTGTGGTTCGTACATTAGTTTGTGTGGGGCCAGCAGTAACAGTTTGGTTGATCAGACCCTGATCCACCACAAGGCCTAGTCTCAGATCGGGCCATGGGGCATTGACCCCCAAACCTTTCTCCAGGTATACTCCAGATAGATAGTGGGCTTTGAAATGAGCTGAGATATGACAGCAGCTCTTAGCTTGTAAATTCAGTGATTTAAAAAAAAATTATTCCTTGTATACTGTACAGTACAAAAAAAAAAAATTGTCTGAAAATTTACCAGATTCAAAAGACTCAAGACTCTAATGCTTTTGAAATAATGTATCAGGCTGTAATTACTGTATTTAACTGTGGGTGCATTTACAGCTTTGCAAAATACGTAATTTAATACCAGTATATTCTCTAATAGTTTGGAATTTTTCACAAAAGTAAAATCTTGTTTTAGTACCTCATCTTATGTTTTCTATTATTCTGTGGTTTGTGTTTTTCACCAATTCAATGATTCTTGTGAGGTTTTTTACTTGGTGTCTTGGTATTCATCTCTCAGTATTTCTTTATTGATTTTTTCTTCATTTTTCTTTCTTTTCTATATCATAGTACATACTGATTATACTAATACTGTGCATTTTCTGTAACTTATCAGTTGTGGAAAATTTGTATTGAAAACTATTCTTTCATACACTATTTTTGTAGATCATGTAGTGACCTGGAAACAACTCCCTAAGCATGGATCGTTTACACTTGCTGATCCTCAGTCTGAGAGATGAGATGGTGGAGAATTGCTGCATGGTGAGGGACTTTATAACCAGTGTTCTTCCGAAGTAAGTAGAATATTATTTCTGTTTTGTGGGTCTCTCAAAAAAAAAAAAAGTTAAGAAAGATGTGTAGTATTATTCTTATTTATCATTGTATTTTGTCAAACATTATTGTATTTTCTTTATATAGTATACACAGTACTGTATCGTAATATTTAATTTTAGTTTGATTTTAGCCAAGTTTTTCATTTAGCTCTTGCAATGATATTGCAGAAGACATAACACCGTAGGTGTGGCTACTGGGGACTTGAATCAGGATTCCGATGGCCGTGTTTGGGTAGAAGTTGGTGGACCTGGTCTAAGACTACGAGTGATGCACCTTCACCCAGCAAACCCCTCTGTAGCCGAGGCACTAGTGATGCGTTTTTCTGCAGACAGTCAGTCAGAAAATATTATAAAACTTCCTGCTGAGGATGAAGTAAGATAAAGTTCTTCCATCCATAAATTCAAAAGCAGACTCGTGAAGCAATGTAGTTCCACAATTTTTTATGATGGGTAACTTGCCTGATAACAGTAATAACAATAAGTTTATTTTAGCATGATACATGTTTGTACGAAGGAGTGTAACAATTTGGTGAACATGCCAAAAGCCCCTTTATATGCAGAGCATTTCAGGCATACTTAAGATTAATTAGGCAATAATAGTGCAGTAATTTTACATATGGTCATTAGGTGAGTTACAATGAATACAAGAAAACTGAATATTCGACTAGTTCACACTATATGGCTTTAGTAAGTTCAGTAGAGAATAATTAAAATTTTGATATAGCTTATAAAAAATTGCAGTATACCTTTTGTTACTGTCACAATAAAGGGAAGAATATAGTTGTTATAGTAATACACAATTCAGGAGTACTGTATAAAAGCCACCTAGAAGTTAGTGTCACCTTTATAATAGAAGGCTAAAGTTTTCTTTGATAAACTATTGTTGTATGCTGAGTTTTAATTAATGTTAGACTGTAGATCATGAATTGATACTCTTACGATTAAGAATTCAGTCCAACCAATTAATGTTAAATGACATAGCAATAAGTAATTTAACACTTATTGGTTGGACCATTTTATTGCATGAAGTTTTCCCATATAGATATCCTTGGCATCATTAGAGGACTACTGGTTCAACCATTGGCAAGGTCCTTATATCACAGCAGACTCCAACCAAAACACTGTCAACTTCAGGAGGTCTAGGCGGAGTTTAAGGAAATCGAAAAGGAAGTTTCGGTGCTCTGTCTGTAACAAGAAGGTCAGTCAGCATTTTTTACTTCAAATATGTTGTATATTGAATATAGGTTTATTTGTAACTTATTTGCCGTGTTTACATCATTTTATCACTGTTCTCCTTATTTCCACCATATAATCATTACTTTAGTTAGAATCTTGAGGCTTATGTATAAACCCCTTAAATTTATATACTTGTATATTATATGATTTGTACTGTACAGTTAGGATTTGATATTTACCTTGCCCCTCCCTCACAAATGTATATACAGTGGTACTCTAAGTTTCGAACTTAATTTTGTTCCAGAAGGCTGTTCAAGTGCTGATACTGGATGAATTTGTTTCCATAAGAAATAATGTAAATTAGGTTAGTCCGTTTCAGACCCCCAAAAATACACATACAAAAGCACTTAAAATAATAAACCTACATAATTGTTTGAGTTGGAGGGGTTCGAAACTCGGGGTACCACTGTACTAGTATAAGCCTCAGCCTCCTGCCTCAAATATGTATATCATACAGTTATGGAATACTCCACTTGATACCTAATGTATGTTAATATGTATCCTTCTCCAAAAGCTATTGTCTACAGGCTACATGTAACTTGTATAATACAGTATATAGGTGATCTGCACATATATGTTTGATGAATCACAGTATACATAGTAGTCATCTTGTGACATCATACATTGCAGTATTTGTAATTAACACAAAACTCATCAAGTGTCTGCTTCTTTCTGATCTATATGAATTCATCACATGCATACAATTTTTTTTTCTTACAGAGATTTGTCACCTCTCATTTTTATCAAAGTGGTAATTGAAAAATTTCACATGTAATTTGAGGTGGTGTCTGTATGGTTCTCATTGTGTCAGTGTAACTTTTATAAACTACACAATTTCCAACAGTTGAATGCATTAACCTTTACAGTGGAACCTCGGTTTTCGGCCTTAATCTGTTCCAGAAGGTCGGCCAGAATCCGAAATGGACGAAAACCGAATTAATATTTCCTATAAGAAATAATGTAGATCCAATTTATCCGTTCCAGACATCCAAAAATATTAACAAAAAATACATTTTATGGAGAATAACTATAGTTTTACATACAGAAAACAATGAGAAATAAATATAAATGTATATAAATAACTAATTTTAATGGATAAATGAACATTTAAATCAGTTTTACCTTTATTGAAGACTGTTGTTGACATATTGTTTACGAAATCCACATGCAACTGCCTTGCCTTTTCGCAAATTATCGCCTCCACAACACTATCTCCTGCTAACTGTTTTTCGTTGATCCACACCAGCACCTTCTCAACATCTTCGATTGTTTGCCATCACTACCACCCTTTGCCACCATCACTACCACCCTCTACCACCATCACTACCACCATCACTACCACCATCACTACCACCCTCTACCACCATCACTATCACCCTCTACCACCATCACTACCACCCTCTACCACCATCACTACCACCCTCTACCACCATCACTACCACCCTCTACCACCATCACTACCACTCTCTACCACCATCACTACCACTCTCTACCACCCTCTACCACCAACACTACCACCCTCTACCACCATCACTACCACCCTCTACCACCAACACTACCACCCTCTACCACCATCACTACCACCCTCTACCACTATCACTACCACCCTCTACCACCATCACTACCATCCTCTACCACCATCACTACCACCCTCTACCACCATCACTACCACCCTCTACCACAATCATTACCACCCTCTACCACAATCACTACCACCCTCTACCTTTGTAGAGAGTGGTAGTGATATTTCTCCACAAAACTTTGCAACTCATTCTATGATTCTTTCTTGAATTCTATCGTGTTTCTTACCTTCTTTACCCAAGGGCTGGCACGCTGAACTTTCATTAGCTCCATGGTGGCATATTTCACAGTCACAGTCAATAAACAAGCACAAAAAACAGTGGATGAATGCGTGGAGTATTGCTAACTCAACGAGAGACACAGGCAGACTGAGTGAGAAGTGGTGTCTCGAGCGGGTGGGCGAGTCTGATACCAACGATTTCTGAATGCATGTACGAAACCTGGGGGAAATTTCGCCAAAAAAAAGTGCTTGAAATCCAAATTGTATGATTTCCACACCGGCCGAAAACTGGGGGGTCCACTGTAAATACAAAGGACTAATGAAATGCATAAATGAACATTTAACATCACTTTTACCTTTATTGAAGACTCTTGTTGGCATATGGCAGACGGCGAGGAGGGGAGAGGGAGGAGAGGTTATCTCTACCACCGTCACTACTACCCTCTACCTTTGTAGAGGGTGGTAGTGATATTCCTCCATAAAACTGTGCATCTCATTCCACTTTCATACTTTGCTACGAGTACTTGAATTCTATCGTGTTTCTCACCCTCTTTATCAAGGGCTGGCACTCGGAACTTTCTTTGACCCTATGGTGACCTATTTAGCAGTCACACTCAAACAAGCACAAAAAACAATGGATTATTACGAAATGTTTCAGATGAACACGCAGGGTAATGCTCATTCGATGAGAAATAAAGCCAGACCGACTCAGAACGCGTGGGATACTTTGTGTGGGCACAGGCAGGCAGACATGTTTGGACCATTGTCAACTCGACAAAAACCAAGGTGATGAACGAAAACTGGAACAAAATTTTGACGAAAAGTCGTCAAAAACCGAATTTGATGAAAACCAGGGCAGATGAACACCGAGGTTCCACTGTACATATAAATGTTTACATGCCAGTGATGAAAGATAGAATTATTGTGAAAATTAATTATTTGGGTGGACAGTCCCTTTCCATCCATAACCTGTTCTGTTCACCCTTTCAGGGTCGGTCCCGTACAGACACAGCTTAACAGCCAAGGTTGGTCTTGTATTTATACGTCAAAATTCTAGCGCCTTCAAATCTGGTGGAAGAAAAATGGTAGGCCTACATATGAAAGAATGGGTCTGCGTGGTCACTGCATGCAGTATAAAAAAAATCCTGCAGCACGCAGTGCATAATGAGGAAAAAGAAAACTCTGACCATGTTTTTGGTTTAAAACAGCGATTTTGTGGTGTATTTTCATATGGTATTTATGGTTGTATTCTTTTTTTCTTGGTCTCATTTGACAGAATGGAAGATATATTACAGAAATGGAGATGATTTTGATTGGTTTCACAATGAAAAGTATCTCGAAATTGAGCTCAAATTAGCAGAAATGTTTGATTTTTGTCAATGTTCGAGAGTAAATAAATCATGCCACACGTCCAATACACGTCAACTGGTGAGTCTAATATTCTTTCACAAGTGTGCTGATATTATTTATACCATTTTTACAATAATGCATAACAGTAAATCTTCTATTTTTTGTGAGAATAAAAATTCAAAATGGAAAGCAAGAGTAATACAAGAGGGGCCTGGAAACTTGACTAATGAACAGAGAAAATGTTATTTTAGTGCCAGGAATGTCTATTTTGTTTATTCTGGACCCAGTTTTGAAATTGGCATCTTTTGAAATTATCCAAATTGCCAATTTCTAACCACTTTATTGGGTAGTTGAAATCGGTAAATGGGCAGTTTCTTGTACTCAGTCGAGAGAACAAATGGAGCTCTAGTGAAGTAGCTATGATTTTAGTCGACTGGAACATTGGAATTGGCAGAAAATAGGGCTGAAAGTGGGCGAAATTGCCAGTGCGTAAATATCGTCGAGATCGCTATCTTTGCAAAAGCATAATTCCGTAAGTTTTCCATCAAATTTCATACTTTTGGTGTCATTACCATCGGGAAAGATTCAGTATCATTTCATAAGTCTTTACCCTGAAAGCGAGTTCAGGATTACCTCAAACTCCTCCTCTCCTTACACCTGCTTTGTATTGGACTGATGAAGCCACTGTGTGGCAAAATGTTTCCTGAATAAAGATTCCCATATGTTGCATAAGTGTCTCAATCTTGATCAGATACCTCATTTCCAAACAGTCTTGTGTTCATACAGTGCTTTTCTTTGCACTGTACTGACATACAGTACGTACCTGGTATATGGATAGGGCCTTCAAACTTATCAAAATAGACAAAGTGGAACCCTGAATATTGGCCGTAATCCATTCCAGAAGGTCGACCTAAATTCGAAGCAATATTTCCCATTAGAATTAATGTAAATACAGTTAATACATTCCAGACACCCAAAAATATTAACAAAAAATATATTTTTTAATGATTAATTATAGTTTTACATACACAAAGCAATGAAAACTAAAATAAATGAACATTTAAATCACTATTACATACCTTTATTGAAGACTCTTGTTGGCTTATGGAAGATAGGGAGGAGGAGAGAGGGAGGACTGATTATTTTTTTGGAAGGAGAATCCCCCTCCATAAGGACTTCAGATATCAAAGCCCTCTCTGGGGCTACTTCCCTGCATGCCTGCTACACTCACTGCATGCCTGCTACACTCACTGCATGCCTGCTACACTCACTGCATGCCTGTTACACTCCCTGCTTGCCTACTACACTCCCTGCCTCCCTACTACACTCCCTGCATGCCTGCTACACTCCCTACCTGCCTTCCACACTCCTTCCCTCCATGCTACACTCCCTGCCTGCCTGCTATACTCCCTGTCTCTCTCCACATCTTCCATTGGGCCCATGGTGGCTTATTTCACAGTTGCACTTAATAAACAAGCAAAAAACCAATGGATTTTAAGGAAATGTTTTGATGAATGCGTGGAGTATATGCTTATTCACCAAGAGACACAGGGAGACTGACTCGCCTATGCGCGGCGTCCCGGCAGGAGGCGGGCTGACGGGTATAATACAGCCGATTTGTGAGGCGCCGGCCGAAATACTACGGAGCAAAATTTCCACCCATAAACTGGCCTAAGTACGATTCGGCCGATAAACACAGCGGTCGGTATTCGGGGTTCCACTATATTGATGTTCAAATAGGATTAGCCATATTTAAAAAATGCCAGTACTTTCAACATATTTACATTGCCTACTATGCTTTGCAATCACAGATTGTGGGACCCATTGACCACCATGATGAATTACAAGAAGCACCTTGTTTTGATGGAGAAAATGTCCTTGCCCATGTTCCATCTGTTAAGCTTGAAACAAGAAGCCCAAAGTCAGAAGAGGCAGCAGCTGCTAGCTCAGATGATGAGTGCATAAAGCCAGCTACCATTGAGGAGGCACTTTCCAGGTGAGATTTTGTATGATTGTACAAATATCGAATAGATAAGCTTTGATGATATTATCAATATCAGGCATGCAATTCAGTATAAATAAAAAGATTCTGTCTATCAAGAGTTGGATTTCTAACCTAGAATTTCAGAAAGGTAAATGTGTTGAGACAAACGCATGATTGTAATTATGCGGTGCCCTCAGAAACAGTAAAAACAAATACAAGGGGCAGAGAATAGCCGGAGGATTTATCAAGCAAGAGAAGGTAAAAATGCAGAATTTGAGTGTGGGGGTATGAAAAAAGGAAGTGGTTTTAGTGAGAATGTGTAAACTGAAAATTTCAGGCTAATATGATGAAGAAAAACTATGGCAATTTAATTTTTTAGGGTTATTGCATGATAGTGAAAGACAGTAATGGTGCTTAACCCTTAAACTGTCCAAACGTAGATCTATGTTTGTGTGCGTAGCGCTCCGACCTTGATTTTCTCCATAAGAAAGAATGTAAAAAAAAAGTAGATCTACATTCGAAGCGCTATGCGAACGAACGTAGACCTACGTTTGGACAGTTTAAGGGTTAAGTGAATGAGGTTTAATATCTGTCCTAAAAGTACCCATGCTTCATACTATTCCTGGATGCCTCTCTCCGAATTTTAAAGCTATTTATTAATTCTTTGTGCTGTTGATATTATCAAAAGCGTGAGTAGATTGATATACGTATAGTAATTTTTTTTTATCACATCAGCCATTTCCAACCAAGGCAGGGTGGCCTGAGAAAAGAAAAACTTTTATCATTCACTCCATCACTGTTTGCCAGAGGCATGCTTACATTACAGTTATTAAACTGCACATTAACCCCCCTCCTTCAGAGTGTACTTCCCATCTCCAGGAATCAAGTCCGGCCTGCCGGTTTCCATGAATCCCTTCATAAATGTTGCCTTTCTTACATTTCAACAGCACGTTATGTCCTAAAAACCATTTGTCTCCATTTACTCCTATTTAACAAGCTCACGCACACTTATTGGAAGTCTAAGCCCCTTGTACACAAAACCTCTTTTACCCCACCTCCCTCCAACCTTTCCTAGGCCGAACCCTACCCCACCTTCCCTCCACTACAGATTTATACACTCAATGTCATTATATTTTGTTCCATCCTCTCTACATGTCCAGACCATCTCAACCCCTCCTCAACCCTCTGGATAATAGTTTTGGTAATCCTGCACCACCTCCTAATCTCCAAACTATGAATTCTCTGCATTGTATTCACACCACACATTGCCTTCAGACATGACATCTCCACTGCCTCCAGCCTTCTCCTTGTTGCAACATTCACCACCCATAAACCATACCCCCGGCCGGGATTGAACCCATACAAGAGTGTTGGTATAACTGTACTTTCATACATTCCCATCTTTGCTTTCATAGATAAAGTTCTTTGTCTCCACAGACTCCTCAGTGCACCACTCACCTTTTTCCCCTCATCAATTCTATGATTCACCTCATCTTTCACAGACCTATCTGCTGACACTTCTTCTTTTACATACCCTACCAAACTCATCCAACAACCTCTGCAATTTCTCTTCAGAATCTCCCAAAAGCAGTCTCATCAGCAAAGAGCAACTGTGACAACTCCCACTTTGTATTAGATTCTTTATCTTTTAACCCCACACCTCTTGCCAACACCCGAGCATTCACTTCCCATACAATTCCATCTATAAATATAGTGAACAACTATGGTGACATCATCCAGCCCTGTCTAAGGCCTACTTTTACTGGGAAATAATCTCCCTCTCGCCTGCATACTCTAACCTGAGCCTCACTATCCTTCACTATCTTCACTGCTTTCAGTAACCTACCTCCAGTTCCATACATTTGCGACATCTGCCAGATTGCCCCCCTATCCTACGCCTTTTCCAAATCCATAAAGGCTACAAAACTCTTTACCTTATCTAAATATTGTTCACTTATATATTTCACTGCAAACACTTGGTCTAAACAACCCCCCACCCTTCCTAAAGCCTCCGTGTTCATCTGCTATCCTATTCTCCGTTTTACTCTTAATTCTTTCAATAATAACTATCATACACTTTACCATGTATACTTAACAGACTTGTTCCCCTATATTTTTTCACTCTTTTATCCCCTTTGCCTTTATACAAAGGAACTATGCATGCTTTCTCCCAATCCCTAGGTACCGTACCCTTTTCCATACATTTATTAAGTAAAAGCACTAACTACTCCAAAACAATATCCTCACCTGCTTTTAACATTTCTATCTTTATCCCATCAATCCCAGCTGCTTTACCCCCTTTTACTCTACCCACTGCCCATGCACTTCCCTCACACTCACAACTGGTTCTTCCTCACTCCTATAAGATGTTATTCGTCCTTGCCCTATACATGGAATCACAGCTTCCCTATCTTCATCAACATTTAACAACTCCTCAAAATATTCCCTCCATCTTCCCGATACCTCTAACTCTCCGTTTAATAACTCTCCTCTCCTATTTTTGACTAACAAATCCATTCGTTCCCTAGGCTTTCTCGATTATTAATCTCACTCCAAAACTTTTTCTTATTTTCAACAAAATTTGTTGATAACATCTCACCCACTCATTTGGTCTCTTTTGCTCTCTTTTTACATTGCTTCACCACTCCTAACCTCTTTTTCTCTTTGAATACTCCTCCCTCCTTGCATCACTTGTGCTTTGTAAAAACCTCTCATATGCTAATTTTTTCTCTCTCACTACTCTTTTTACATCATCATTCCTCCAATCACTCTTCTTCCCTCCCGCACCCACTTTCCTGTAACCACAAACTTCTGCTGAACACACTAACACTATATTCTTAAACTGACGCTATACATCTGCTACCCCATTGCCTATAATCACACTAGCCAATCTGTCCTCCAACAGTTGTTTATATCTTACCCTAACTGCCTCCTCCATCAATTTATAAACTTTCACCTCTTTCTTACTTGCTGCTTCCATTTTCTTTGTATCCCATTTATCTTTTACTGGCACTCTAGCTACAACTAAAATATAATATTAATTTTATTGTTATATAAACTTTTAACCTAGGTAGTAGGTTGGTAGACAGCAACCGCCCAGGGAGGTACTACCATCCTGCCAAGTGAGTGTAACACGAAAGCCTGTAATTGTTTTACATGATGGTATGATTGCTGGTGTCCTTTTTTCTGTCTCATGAACATGCAAAATTTCAGGTACGTCTTGCTACTTCTACTTACACTCAGGTCACACTACACATACATGTACAAGCGTATATATACATACCCCTCTGGGTTTTCTTCGATTTTCTTTCTAGTTCTTGTTCTTGTTTATTTCCTCTTATCTCCATGGGGAAGTGGAACAGAATTCTTCCTCCGTAAGCCATGCGTGTTGTAAGAGGCGACTAAAATGCCGGGAGCAAGGGGCTAGTAACCCCTTCTCCTGTATATATTACTAAATTTGAAAGGAGAAACTTTGGTTTTTTCTTTTGGGCCACCCTGCCTCGGTGGGATACGGCTGGTGTGTTGAAAGAAGAAGAAAGATAAACTTTTAAACAGGGATGTCTTTCTCTAATAGCACAGTGACCAAAAAGCTTGTAACATACCTCAGTTTATCAAAGTGCAGACCTAGAAATTTGCAGTCATTTATATTTTCTATTTGGCAGATGTTGCATGTGTATGGAATAGGAGATAGGTTACTGAAAGTAGTGAAGAGTTTTTATGAGGATAGTGAGGCTCAGGTTAGAGTATGTAGGAGAGAGGGAGATTATTTCCCAGTAAAAGTAGGCCTTAGACAAGGATGTGTGATGTCACTGTGGTTGTTCAATATACAGTGGACCCTCAACCAGTGATGGCATCGATTAACGATAAATCTGACTAGCGATACATTTTAACGCAAAAATTTTGCCTCGACTAGCGCTTAAAAACCCGACCAGCGCTATTCGTTCCGTACCATACGCGTCCACTTTGGCCTGAGCGCGCCTCACTTGTCCCTTGGTACCAGTGTTTACAAGCCAGCCAGCCATCACAGTCACTTCCAAACATACAACAACTGGAACATTTCATATTATCACAGCCTTTGTAATGATTGCACCTGCAAAATAAGTCATCATGGGCCCCAAGAAAGCTTCTAGTGCCAACCCTACAGCAAAAAGGGTGAGAATTACTATGGAGATGAAGAAAGAGATCATTGCTAAGTATGAAAGTGGAGTGTGTGTCTCTGAGCTGGTCAGGTTGTATAATAAACCCCAGTCAACCATCGCTACTATTGTGGGTAAGAAAACGGCAATCAAAGAAGCTGTTCTTGCCAAAGGTGCAGCTGCTGCTGCACCACAGTCAGCTTTTGTTGTTGCTGCACCACCATCAGCTGTATTACTCTAAGATGTGGAGAGAGTGTTGTTGGTGTGGCTTAACGTGAAACAATTACCGAGAAACGATTAACCCTGGAGGATTAGCCACCCAGGATAACCCAGGAAAGTCAGTGCATCATCGAGGACTGTCTAACTTATTTCCATTGGGGGTCCTTAATCTTGTCCCCCAGGATGCGACCCACAACAGTTGACTAACACCCAGGTGAACAGAAAAAAATGCCTGGAACTAGTGCTCATATTGGTGAGGTTAGTGGGGAGGATGTGGAAGAGTTGGTGGAGGAGGACAGTGACGACCTAACCACTGATGAGCTGCTAGAGCATCTTCAACAGTAAGAGGCCACACCTGAGGAAACTGCTTTGGAGGAGGGGAGAGAGAAATTGAAGAAGTTGCCTACTTCAAAGATTAAGGAAATGTGTGCAATGTGGCTTAAAGTGCAAACCTTTTTTGATGAAAATCACCCTCACACAGCTGTTTCAAGCCGTGCTGGTGACTATTACACTGACAATGTTGTAAAACACTTTAGGATAAAGGAACGAGAGGTACAGGCCTCTATGGACAGATATGTTGTGCGACAGAAGTCCAGTGACTCTGAAGCTGGTCCTAGTGGCATTAAAAGAACAAGGGAAGTAACCCCAGAAAAAGAC